TCATCATTCTATATAAGCTCCCTCCAAAAACACAAATTTAAACATTACTTTCTTTGAATATCTATATCTATAATATAAAATCTAATTTCTCCCTCTTTCTTTATCCTAAAACGAAAAAATAAACATACAAATCTTTGTTATACCATTAAAGCTAAATACTCTTAAAGAACTTAAAGTAAGTACATATTTCCTTCAATCTTCATAATCTTCTCTCCTATCCAAAAAGAAAAAAAAAAAAAAACAAAAACTTAAAAAACCTATAAGTCCTAAACAAATCTAAGCACATTTAATTAAACAAATTATTTTGTCTTAAAAATATTAATAATAATATTTAAAAACTAAAAACACTTTTAAATCCTAAACAAATCTAAATACAATCATCACTCTATATAAACTCCCTCCAAAACCACAAATTTTTAAAATTTAAAATATTAGAATCCACTCACTAAAATAAGCAAATTATAATCCCTTCAAAACACAAATTTAAACAATATTATCATTAAAGGTTCAAAACTTAAAACAACAAAGTTAATAAACACATTAAACATTTCAATCTTCACCAATAACTAATTCCATCCGTAAAAAACTACATCCTTATCAATCTCAATTATATTAGTATTATTAATTATTCACATTCCAGTTTTTTCCATTCTCCATTCTTCCATTCTTCCATTTCCCTTCTCCATTCTTGTATCAAACTCGTAAGAAATGCTGCAAGTTCTGCCTTAGGAGACTGCTCCAAAATTCCTGAATCTCCCATCGACTCCGAAGCCAATAAGGGTTCCTTAAATTCCTCCTTGTATTGATCTTTACAATTGTAAGTTGTACAAGTTATCCTCTGCCCGTTCCTCTCTTGTTGATGCCCCTCAGACTGAGATTTCCCAGTTTCCATTTCAGGCAACAATTCCACCCTTAAAGATTGCTCCAAAGACTTTGTAGGTCTAACATCTCCCAGAGATTCAGAAACCACTAAATATGAAACTTCCTTAACCTTCTTCTGTTGCTGCTTTTCTTTGGGATTATATACTGCACAAGTTGTCTTCTGCTCCTCAACCTGGACTTGTTGAGGCCTCTCACACAAAGATTCTCCAGTTTTCATAAATATAGGCTCTTCAAACTGTGATTCTACATTCTTTTCTTCCAAAGCTTTAAACTTAATTGATGGCGATGCACATACCCCCAGGACCGAAGTATAAAAATCTTTTGCTTGAGAAACAGTATTAAGTCTATAACATGTCCCCAGGTAATTCACCACCATTCCAATCGGAACATCCCATCTGAATGAAATTTTTCTCTTTTTAAGTTCATTTGCTAAAAAAGCAAACTCCTTTCTTCTTCTTAAAATTTTAGATGGGATCTCTTTAAAAATTATAACATCTTGTGAAGCAATTTGAAATCTCTTCTTATAATAGGCTTGCACAATTTCATTGCGTAAAGATCTTTTACCAAAGTAAATTACCACATCTCTTGGCAGATTCTTCTGTGCTGCCACCACAGAGTTAACCCTAAATAATTTTTCAATTTCATTAAGTATTCCCTCTTTTTCTTTATTCAAAATCAATGCAAAGTCCTTTGCAACCATCTCCTTCAGATCTCCTTGCAAAGACTCTCCCAGGCCTCTAATTCTTAAGGCATATTCCATTTGTCCATATTGAAGCATAAGAATCTCATTTTCCATTTCTTTTTCCATACTTTCAATTTTCCCCTCCATTATGTCCACTTTTTCAGCTACCTCTTCCACATGGGAGTTCACCTTTTCAAGAACAGAAGCAACACCTTCTAAAGCCAAAACAAAATCTTGTCTCAAGATCTTATTGTTTTCCTCTAAAATCTTTTTCATTTCTGCCCTAATTTGAATTATAACATCTCCCATCATGTCTTGCAAGTCCTTCATAGTTATTAGCTGACCCCCAGAAGAGGGTGAAACTGTTGATTTAGAAACTGTAGAAATCCCTGGACGCTTTGGAGCCATCTTAAAGAAAAACCTTTAGTCCTTCTTGAGCAATTATAAAAATTCCTTCAAAAATATAACTCCCTCCAAAGAAGGTCATTATAATAAAAAGAAAAAAGGGAAAAAAAGGAAGAGAAAAAGAATTAAAAAAAAGTTTTACTCCTTCTTAAAAATTACAAAAAATTAAACAGAAAAAAAGTCCTTCAAAAAAGGGTCATTACAATAAAAAAAAAAAGGGAGTTCAAAGGAAAAAAAAAGGGAGAAGGGGAAAAAAAAAATAATTAAATAAAAAAAGTCCGTTCCAAAAAAAATACTTAGAGATACCAAAAACAACCATTCCAATCATAAGGAAATAAAAAGAGAAAGGGAAAGGAAAGAAAGAAAAACACCAAAAAGCCTGCCGGTCAGCATTCTAACTTCCAGAAAAAAAAACACCGAGGAGTTTGCCGATCGCCATTTTACTTTCCCTTTCAACAAAGAAAAAAAATAAAAAGAGAGAATAAAAATAGAAACAAATCTTAAAACTTAAAATCCAAATAAGTCAAAGAAAGCAAAAACTAAATCCTCTACTCAGCTCTGTCCATTTAAAAAAAAAAAACTCACCAGTTCTCTTTAAGCACGGAGGTGTTTGCGGCGGCTCGTTTTGTCCCTGAGGACAAAAACAGCTGGGAAGCGGAGACAAGTCTGAACTCCGTGGGAGCACTCCTTTCACCCCCCCAAAAAAAAAAACTTGGGGGGTGCGAAAGAGGCTCTACCACTATTCAGACACTCTCTACCCCCCCCCTTTGCCCGGGAGGGGGATTTTGAACCGCTGAACAGCTGATATCTGCTGTTCATAGCGGTTCTTACACTTACCCAGGAGGACGGCTACAAAGTAGCCGCCATCACGCACGCAAAATCCACCGGAAGTCTTTTCTAGTCTAATTTATTACTAAATACTTAGCCTTCTTTAACTATAATTTAATTACTGTTATTTTCAATTATCTGGAAGGCATTTTGTTGGACATATATGCAGTTAATGCAGTTATCCCTTTTAGACTGCTTTGAGGTTTATGACCTGAATGGTGATGGATATATTTCACGAGAAGAAATGTTTCATATGCTGAAAAACAGTCTGCTAAAACAGCCATCAGAGGAAGATCCAGATGAAGGAATTAAAGATTTGGTAGAAATAACACTGAAGAAAATGGCAAGTATAATAAATTTAAAAATACAACTTATCGGATTTAGATAATACCAATAATTTACCCAATTAACTCAGTTGGGCTTCATTTATACACTTAATGGATGAAAAAACCCAAAATGAAATAAATAAATCAGCAATGCCAAATTAGAGACTGGAACAATACCAAAATAATATTTTTAAGTAGATAAATTACAGTAGGAATTATATGAAATATGACTGGCATGCCAATAAAAAAATCATGCATGTAATTCAATTATAATTTAGCCCCAAATAATTATATATATGGCTTTAGTCTAAATATAGTGATTATATGGGTTTAAAATATCTTATTTCATAGGACTATGATCACGATGGCAAAGTCTCTTTTGTGGATTTTGAAAAGGCAGTAAGAGATGAAAATCTTCTCTTAGAAGCATTTGGGCCATGTTTACCTGATATGAAGGTACTTATGAAGTCTATATCTAAGTATATTAATAATCAATTAATTTATTAGTAATTTTATCACGAACAATTGCTTGAATGCTATAAAATTGTATTCCTGTTCTATGTTTGAACTAAATTTTCTCAATATAAAACTAAAGTTATTAAACTGCTTTTTTCGAATGGTCACTGAATGAGGCTAACCAAAATCATTATATATGTATATGAGAGACTTTTAATGCTGATCGTCAAGCAATTGTATTTCAGCATGCTTTAACTAGTCTTCCCTTTGATCTAAAATAACTTTAGCCTAGGATTAAGCGACTATGCTTAGCTATGCTCTATCTATAGATTATACTTCTCAAACCTGAATATACATCATCAGTATGCCACTTCTGACTATTTTAACCAAAAGTTCTGGATTTGTTTTAGCCAAAGTATTTGCTTTTTCTAATTTTTTGGGAACAGACTATTTTCTATTTTTTCTGAACAATGTGAACAATGGCTCCGTCAGTTCATGCAGCTACTGGTTGATCAGATTCAAATATATAAATACATATTGAACAGTGAAATGCTTTTTATCTGAAAGGAAGATTTAATTTTTTCCAGATAATCTATCTACTTGCTATTAAAATTCTTGTTCTTATTGTTTAACTGTGAAACAATGCAACATTTTTTGAACCAAGGTATCTCAAATGCATCCAAAATGTGGGACATTTGACTCCTGTGGAATTGAAATTTGGCAAATCTTATAAAATTTTATGATATAAAAATTATCATAAAACAGATATCATATACAAAAAGTCATAAAACATTTATGGTGATATTGTTTGACTGTTAAATAGCTCAACATATGCTATTTTCAAGGCAAACACATCTCTGAATGTATCCAACTTTTCCAGTGAAGGCAATGCATTAAAATTTCTGTCATTGCTAAAGATTTTGAGGAATTTCTTACTAAAGGAAAAATCTCAAGAGATGATCCAAAGGATCACAGGTTATCTAGTTTACTGTTAAGGAAAATATCATCTAAAAGATTGACCAAGTAAGGTAATAAGGAGACATGTTTCTGGGGGCACGGATAGGGGATTAACTCTTATAGAAGACGAGGTGGCGCAGCAGTTAGAGTGCAGTATTGCAGGCCACTTTAGCTGACTGTGTTCAGCAGGTCAGTGGTTCAAATCTCACCGGCTCAAGGTTGACTCAGCCTTCCATCCTTCCGGGGTAGGTAAAATGAGGACCCAGATTGTGGGGGGCAATGTAAATATATATATACATTGCTTACTGGTGTACACCGCTTAGAGAGTGCTTGCACTTAAAGCGGTATATAAGTCTCATAAATAAATAAATAAATAAATAAATAGATAAATAAGACATATGTTTTGTATAAAATATGAAATACTTCCATGTATTATCAGTACTCTTGTAGAAACAAATCTGTTATAAGGTTGACTATTTTAATCATTCATTTAGGCTTTTGACTCTTCTGAAAAAGTACATCATCAAATACTAATGCGATGACTTACAGTGTAGGAACTCTTACAGTAAATTTCTTGTAATAAAATTTTCAATTAATGCAATTAATTTTTTTCCTGCGGCTATATTAATGTCTTGTTATATAAACTGCCTAACTACATGCATTTCTGAAAACCAGAGTGTTTCAAAAATAAAAGCATCAGAATATCATTTATGTTTATGGATCATTTGATACGAACAAAAATATCAATGTACAATAGACCCAGAGAATGATGTAACTAGCTTCACATACTTAGGGAAATCTTGATCTTTTTATTTCTCAAACAATCAGAATTTTGGCAAATAATTTCAATAAAATATGATACAACATGATTATTATTACATTTTTATTCCATCTTTTTGTATAAAATACAAGGGGATAAACATACCTATATTCCAGTCTCCTATTTTCCCCACAGCTTCAACCCTTTGAGGGAGGGTTGGGCTGAGAGTGACTGGCCCAGAGACATGACTAGCTCAGCCATCATTCTTGCCTAAGGTAGATTTAAAACTCAAAAGTCTCTTGTTTTCTAGGTCAGCATTTTAACCATGGCACCAAACAGGCTCTTAAAATTTTCTATTTAAAAGTGAAATATTGGACTTAATTTTAATATTTTATTAAACATTTCCAGATATATAGACATTGTTCTTTGGACATATGTTTGTTATAGCTTTTTAAAAAAATGTTTATTATTTCCTTTACAGTGCAGGATGTCCTTTGAATCACAAGCTTTCCAAGATGCTCCTGAGTTGTAGATCTGCAAGTAGAATACAATGAATGAAATGTAATATAGCTGGGTAGAGCCAATGCTTGCATGAGAGGATATCATTAGGAGCACAAGAAATAAGGTGATAACATTCACAGCCATCAATAACTTTCAATATAATAGATAATAACTTTAAATTTACAAGAACTGTTTCATATTAACAAATGAAGCCATATTTTTTTGTCTAGAAACAGAGCCTACCTGTTTGTGAGTCAAATATAAATGTAATATGCAAGCAGAAATATTCATATTCGCCGCCTCTGCTTTATTACTGGCTTTGTTTGATTTTCCACTAATAATTCTTCAGATGAACTCAAAGTTTGAACTGGATCAGCAATCTAGTTTGAAAAAGAGAATTTACAGTTAGCATATTATATGCATCTATAATGGAACAGAAGGGATTAAGCTATTGCAAAATAATTCATATATACAAATTCTAAATGATGTTAGAACTACATATTTTCACAGCACTGAATGACAAATTATTGGCCCACCTTCTTTAGTCTATTACGAATTAAGTTTGCTGAGGTGTTCAGTGAATCATCATCCATATCTATTTTAGGAGTTTCTGGTAGCTTTGGGCCAAAAATGATTTCTTCACCATTAGGCTCTCTTCCCAAAAGGGCAAGTTTGTTGTCTTCATCTCTTCTCCTCTTTCGTTCCTGAAGTTGAGTAGTTCGGGGCATGAATCTTGCAAGACCTTCATCACATGCAATCTTTCTTCCTAGGTTCCAGCAAGCCAATGTGTCATGCTCTTTTTGCTGTGGCTTTTTATCCATTCTTATCTTTTGGCTAAAGCATGCAGATGTTGTAGCACAGTGAGGTGCTACTACCAGACTCTGGCAATGTTGTTCTAAAGGAGATGTAATATGTTTCAGTAATAATGTGGAACAGGAAGATTGACAGGGGTCCTGTGTATATGTTGCTGGATTCCATTTGCTAATGGCTGTTGTTTTAGATGTCCATGATCGACAATCCAACGGCATGATCTTTGAAGAACGTATACAACAATCCTGTTTTGTTTCAAGTGATTGCTCTTAAAACACACACAAAAATAATGTGTTATATTAGTGCATAGTAAAAAAGGCATTTTTGAAGTGAACTTTAATTTTGTTAACAATTTACTGTGGTAGAAAATAGAGAATAGGATTTATTTGATGAGAAAAATTGTTTTAATGTATTAGTTACAGAAAAAAATTCCTCCAAACCATCTTTGTTCTGCTATGCTTTGGATGAGGAATTGGAATATTTTAATAAATTACAAGATGTCCATCATTCCGGGATTTTTTTGGAGTTGTGCAAAAATGTACAATGAAATAATAGGCAAAATAAATACATGAACTAAGAAAAAAAAAGAAAAATTAACTACATCCAATTCAAAGTAAATCCTGAAAAAAACTTTTTTTTTCTTTTGCTCCCATATTTTTTTTCACGCCAAACTATTTAGATCTGAAATAATGCAAGAGGTATTTTTAATGAGAATATAAAAAGAAAGAATATAGCTTTTCAAACAGTAAATGTAAAGTCCTCACTGACTTAAGTTTGACTTGATAATACCCTTGGTGAATTAATATTGGAATTTTGGGGGGAATTATAAAAGTTGTTTGCTCTTGCCTTTCTACTGATTTAAAATAATAAAAGCCACAAACCTTTACAACTGGTTGCTTTTGCTATATATTTTCGTCTGTCTTTTAGTTTGTCTCTGGTCTCTTGTACACTCTCAAATTCTGGAGCATAGCATATATGTAACAAACTGCCAAAGAAATTCCGCTCATCCAGTTTTCTTTTGGCTGCCCTAAAAGAGAGCAAGAGTGATATTCAATGTTGTTGAAGTTAAGTTTTCTTTAAATCCAGTAAGTTAAGTTTTGACTATAAAAATAACTGTTGTGGTCTATATAAAACTGATATATGAAAGAAATTACAATATTAAACAAATGGGGGTTTTAGGCACAACAAAAGCAGTATTTACTACCTTGCACTCTGTATTTTTAAAAACTTGATCAAGTACACTTCAGTAAATTCTTCTGCTGGATATCCATTTAGTGGATTATATTCCTCGACAGTACCATATAAAGCAAAAAGTTCAATTAATTCCTTCATAACTCCCAATGCAGGAACACCTTGGATTAACAAATATCGAGACTCTAAATTGACAGTGTAAACCTGAAAAACAAAATTACTTTAATAATGTTTTAATATATGTAAGTGAGCCGTTCTATTTTGAAATTAATTGTTTACAGTAATACAATATCACTACTTTAAAAGAATGTGCCAGAAGTTAAATATTTTAGGATTAATGATCCAGTTCATCCATGATAGTCCTTACCTATGAACACAATTGGGACCAGAATTTCCACTGCTAAGCAATGCAATTTTTAAATGAATTGCACCCGATTTTATGTTCTTCTTTATCACGGTCGTTAACACTGAACATTTTGTGGTCTCCATGAAATAAAAAAAATGTTGACCCACTAGAAAGAGTGCATAGAAGATCAACAAAGGTGATTGGGGGGTTGGAGGCTAAAACACACGAAGAACAGTTGCAGGAACTGGGTATACTAGTCTACTGAAGAAAGGTGACATGATAGCAGTGATCCAATATCCAAGAGATTATCACAGAGAGGAGGGGATCAACCTATTCTCCAAAGCAACCGAGGGCAAGGACAAAAAGTAACAGAATGAAACATATCAAATTGAGATTCAACCTAGAAATAAGGAGAAATTTCTTCAAGGTCTTCCTGTCCTGTTCTGTCCTGCATAGGTGCTGCGAGTGTATATGTAAACAAAAAAGGGAGGGAGGAAAGGAAGGCCAGATCTGCTTTTATTCGGCTCGTAGGATTCCTACGGAGAGACCAACAAAGTATCTATATCACAGAGCACATTTGAAAAGACGAGGACATCGCTAAAGCGAGAGCTTTACCTTCACTGCTCTTGGCCGGCGCCCTTCGCGATACTTAGCGCGCGATGCACATATCGTCTGCTGTGCGTGATGCTGGCAGACGCCACCAACCTCCTCACCAGTGTCAACCGCCGCCATCTTCACTCCCGTAGTCTCTGTCGCCTCTTCAAACCGTCACCCAAGTCTTCCCCGCCCCGAGGGCCACTCAAAGGAAAGGCGGAAATAAATCGATGAAGAACCCGGCGAGGGATCGAAGCGGAGCCCTGGCACTTTATCCAATCACAGCAGGGAAAAGCGGCTGAACGTCCAACGACATTACGCTACTCCAAAAACGGCACGATACGGTGCCGGAAACCGGAACAATAGTTCTGCCAGTCTGATGACGGTCAAGAGTCGCGACGTTTTGTGGTTTTTGTCTTAAGGTGTCCGATTCTGGTACCTGGCCTTGGATGGCCGGAGGTTCGGCTGCCATGTTGGGGCCGGGAGGATTCGGAGTAGCCGCGGCGAGCGTCTCTTTGAGCGGAGTCAAGAACTGCTTTCTGCACTTGCCGCCTGGGCTGGTTTCCTATCTCCGACTGCAGCAGGTACAGGAATTCAGGAAGGCGGACATCAACCTCCATTCCGGGATCGCGCCTCTTTCACGGCGCCTCGTACTCGTTTTATGCTCCATGATTACTGAGGGCGAAGTGTTCGTTCACAGTTACAGCATACTTTTCTTAGTAACATCATTCTGTATTCAAGTATGGGGCTGTTAGCACTTTAGACGAGCCACCGAAGGGGGCTCTTGCCTGGCTAGGGACCTTGGAGGTCTTTTCATCCAGCCCCCTGCTCTAGCAGGAGACCCTTATCCTCTTCATTAGCTGTGCTAAGTAAAAACAGTTATTCACTCGAGACGAAAAGGATATTTGCAGTAGAGGTGCCTGTGGAGGTTTCTTGGCAACACTACAGGAATGATATGTTATTGTCTTTTTCTGAGGATGTTCAATATCACCTGACATAGGATATCTTGGTGCTGTCCCTGATCTTGTTAGTCATTGTGTTTTCGAAATTTGTCAATAGTAGGTGCTGCTGCCCACTGGGGATTACTTGCATATGACATCAAATATTATGAAATTGCTATATTTTTCAAGCATTGCAGTATTGAGAATAATCTGAAATTAATTGTAACTTTCTGCAGCTATTAAATTAATAGGAGTTTTAAATCTGATATAGTTAAATCTGATTTTTTTTTCTGTAAGGCCTGTGGATTTTTTTTCTCATTGTGATGAACACTGTTAAAAATGTATTTTTTTATCATTTGGAAAAATGCCTTATAACATCCAGGAGATGGTATCTTAGTGCAGTGTAATAATTAAGGACTGTGAGGGATGAGTTCTGTATTAACTTTGCAAATACTCTGAAAACAAAGAGCTAAAGCTGAAATTAACAAATTCCAGGCTATCAAACTATTAACTCTCTGATTCAACCCCACCCTAATTCAGTGCTGGCCGGTCTTTAGACCTTTCTCCTTACTCCTTTCCAGATTACTGACAACTGGAACTGGTCTTATAAAGGCTGAATCTAGCAAAGCTAAAAAAAAAAGCCTAAAAGTTTGAGTTATCTATTTAAAAGCCGGGATAAAATACTACTACTACTACGTGGGTTCAGGTCTTATGGTATTTTAAGATCCAAATCAACAAGCATCTTGTCGATAGATGCCTGATACAATAGTTATTGGGGGGAAAAGTTTGATTCTTTGATGTTGCTGTAGTAGGTGATGCTAAGATTGAGAAAAAAATAGGAAAAAATTAAAATCTGTGATTTACAGATCAAATTTGAATACCTATGGAAAAAATATTTTGTTATACCAATTTGATTGGAGCCCTCAGATTGATACCCAAAGGACTTCCTCAATTTCTGGAAATCCTGAATTTATTAGATCTGAACAGTCTAATTTTATAAAAATCCCCACTCTTGCTTGGGCCTTGTCTATATGTATTTATCTGTCCACTTACATGAAATATCCCCTGTTCGTTTAATATAACTTTGTTCTCTTTGAAATTCATAGGATCAAGTTGTGAAAGCTTCTTGGGGCAATCAACCAGTATTCTTGGGTTGGATGGAAATCAAACATTATCGTCAAAGAGAGGAAAACATTGTTGAAATAAACAGACAATTAGCAGAAAAGCTTGGCATCAAAGATGGACAACAGGTTTGAAATGCAATCTTCTATTTGTACACTTAGAGTAGGATATGAAGTTAATACATATGGACTGTATCAGTTTCTAGTTTCAAAATCTGGCTTCTTATTAAATTATCAAATTGTCTACAAGTTATGCTTAATAAAATACCGAGGTCCAGGCAAACATAGTTCAAATGACATAGCTAACTTTTGAAATGATTGTTGTATACATTCACTATTAATTCATTTGCTTTGCACCTGGAAAACAGATACACATCAAGTGCTTTTCTTATAGGATATGCAGACACTGTGCACAAACAAAGAACTGCACACAACAAAGAATATTGCTTGAAAGAAACATGCAGAAATAGTACAGGTAGTCCTCAACTGTAGACTGTAATGGAGCTTGTCCATTACATTCAGAAATCATGATGGCCATTAAATGAAGTGTCCATGTGATCGCTTCATTTACAGAGCCCTGTTCTTTCTTTTTTCCAGTGCAGCCATTAAATGAATAAACAGATTGTTAAGTGAAGCACAGAGTCCCTCAGACCTAGCACAGGCCTCCTAGGTCTGGGGCTCCTAAAATTCTCCCATCTCCTGAGGCCACTTCCCATCCCTTGGAATCCCTGCAGGATTTATATCTACTTAATGCCCCACCATGTCCCACACCCTTGTCATCCCATGTCATCCATTGTGCACTTACCTTTCAAAGATCACTGGAACTTGGGTTAGGAAGAGGAAGAAGGGTAGGCCGCTTTGTTCCTGGCCATGTGGCGCAATCCTGAAAGCTGACATTTGGGGCTAGCCACATTAAATTGTGGGTGCTCTGAAAATGATGGTTGCTTCTGGGATCAGCCTAGGAATGGAGTGGTTTGCCCTCCTTCTTTAACATGAGATCTAGATTGTTCTGATGGCCAGGGAACTTCCCAGAATTTGCATTAGGGAAGCAGAGCAGGCCTCTTCATTCAAAATACAGAATAACAGAGTTGGAAGGAAACTTCTTCTAGTCCATCCCCCTCAAGCAGGAAACTCTGTAATGTTTCAGACAAATAGTTGTTCAATCTCTTCTTAAAAACGTCCAGTATTGGAGCACCCACAACGTCTGGAAGCAAGTCATTTGAGAAATGGTTCTAACTCTCGGAAAATTTTCCTTAGTTCTAGCTTGGTTCTTTTTGGATTAATTTCCATTCATTGCTTCTTGTCCTGCCTTCAAGTGCTTTGGATAATAGATTGACCCCCTCTCCTTTGTGGCAACCCCTTATATAGTGGAATACTGCTATCATGTCATTCCTAGTCCTTCTTTTCATTAAACTAGACATACCCAATTCCTGCAATTGTTCTTCATATGTTTTAGTTTTCAGTCCCCTAATCATCTTTGTTGTTCTTCTTTGCACTCTTTCTAGAGTCTCAACATCTTTTTTATATCGTGGCAACCAGAACTGGATGCAGTATTCCAAGTGTGGCCTTACCAAGTCATTATAAAGTGGCATTAGCACTTGATGTGATCTTGATTCTATCTGCTAATGCAGCCTAGGATTGGGCAATGTGGCTTGAACCCAGAAGTGGATGCTATTTTCTGGTCAGCCTTATTGAATTGTGGTCAGCTCTATAAATAATAACTACTTCTGGGATCACACCCAGGTGCAAAGAGCTTTGCTCTGTTTCTCTAATTCAAGTTATAGAAAGCCCTGTGTTGTGTCAGAGCTCATGTTAAGCAAGCAGAAGTCTATTCGTTCTTGGGCCATGTGGCATAATCCCAAAACTCCCCATCATTTTTAGGGTAGCCACAATTCAATGCAACTGACCAGAAAACAGTGGCTATTTCTGGGATCTCACCACGCAAGCCAGGAATGGAGTAGCCTCCCTCCTTTCCTAGCCCAAGCTCTGGAGATTTTCAAAAGGTAAATGAAGAGAGTGTGGGACCTGATGGGATAGGAAGCAGGCCCACCGAGACCCAGGGTAGGGAGGGAGAGGAAATAAGCAGGGGGACTACTGCAGTGTCCCAATAGTCGGTCATAAGAATGAATGACTGGGGGATGCAGCAGCAGCTGTAACTTCGGAACTGGAATGTAAGTAGCTTTTGGAGGGTCTGCTGTAACTTTGAGCAGCCGCTAAGCAACCAGTCGTAAGTTAAGAACTAACTGTATGTTGAATTATTTTCAATGTATCACTTATACCTCACCAGTTTTGTGACCCCCTAGATGAGATCTTAACTCACCCTTTTGACTTTCTGAAAGAGCTTGAAGACCTGCCTCTGCCACCTGCCCTGGTTCCCCAGTGGGGGCATGTCATTCCGGAGATGGTTAATGGACTAAGATCCCAAACTCCTCCTCATTGCATCTAGCTCCCTTCCTTCCCATCTTTGTCATTTTCTAAATCAATTTTAGTGTTAATATTTACTGTTTTAATCTTTTATATTAGTAAACCACCTACAGTTGCCTCTACATAAGATGGGTGGCATTTAAGTTTAATAAATAAAATAAAATATTAGAATATTTTTGCTTAGGATTCAGTGAGTCAATCAGTGGAACAATAAATAAAAGTTTGCATGTACTAATATTGTTGCCAAACTGTTTAGTTTTTGTTACTGTCAGAATTGAATAAAATACCATTTATTTATTTGAGGATGCCAAAAACTTTTACATTGCCAAAGGGAATAAATAACACTAATTATATGGCCAAAATATAGTTTGAAAATATATATTGTCAGTACAGATCAGTAACCATGTGATTCTTATATCAGATTTTCTTTTCTCATTTAGAATTATTTTCAGTGGTCTGTGTGAAAATTTTGAAATTAACTTAATTAGATTTCTTATCTGCCAGGTATTCCTTGAACCCTGTTCTCAGGTTTTGTCCTGTCAGCAAGTAGAAGTAGAACCAATTTCAGCAGATGATTGGGAAATACTGGTAATTAAAGAGGTTTTTTTTACATAATACTTATATTTTTTCCCCTCTTATCTGTTTCACATTAACTAAACATGCATTTTTATTTGATAAGGCCATTTTTGTGTATACATTTGTTTGCAATCTTCTCAACCAAGATCAGATTTTTTTTTTAACACTCTGTAAAATGATTATAGGAGCTGCATGCATTGTCCCTCGAAAGGCATCTTCTTGATCAAATTCGAAT